CGAAAGGCAGTTTTGTAATTAAAATTTTAAGTTACTGCCGATTTTTGAAAAACTTCGATTTTTTTTTTAAAATTTTGTTACACCTGATCTTAAATTTGATTTGTAGACGAAGTGTGGCGTAGTCTACTTTGTCCAATCAGAGATAGCATTTGCAAATGTCCAATCAGAACTGGGGGAGAAATTAGGGATCCCCACAGTGAGGGGTTTCAGAATTAACGTGCGGAAATCTAATTTTGACAGCAATAGATAACGTATTTATTTTCAAATGAGCGATGTACTGATTTTATTTCATTTTCCGATAAATTTGTAATAATGATTTTTGTCGTTGAAAAGTTTATTTATTTCGTTAAATGGGAGTCTCTAAACACTCCCATTTCATTTTCCGATTTCAAAATTTTGATATACAAATAAGATTTTTTAAGCTCCTACTTATTTTCGAAATACGCTATTTTTTTTTAATTCTGAAACCCCTCAGTGTCCACAATTGTCCAAAGAATATTTAGGTTTGAAATTTTAATAAATAATTTAAAAAAGATGTGATTATATATTTTTGTAGTTCTGAATATTTTTACTTAAATGATTAAATAGGTTATCTTAATAAATTTTGGAGTAATTTGGATTTGTTTTTTTGTCAAAAATTGTCCACAATTGTTCACAATTTGTCCAGAGCTGTCCCGTGACAACACTGATAGGGATTTCATGATTAACTTATTTTGAAAATAAGTAGGAGTTTAAAAGTTGCTACTTCAATTTTTAAAATTCCGACTCAGTGAATTAATATACGAACATGTTAATAAAATTAGCCTTGTTACACAAATTAAAAAAAATGAATGCAACAGAAACTTATTGAGATTAATCACTACCACTACTGAACCCGTTAAAAAAACCAGTTTATATAGTATATTATTTTTTGTAAATGAATATACAGTATACTAACGAATGAATTTAGAAGCAAAGACAAGCATTCTAATTAAACCTCCTTTATTAAAAATTTGAAAACTTTAATTGCAAGTGAATCCATTAATATTTAAGAACAAGAAAGGCTTGAGTATGAAAAGCTTATGAGTCAAAAGGATAAAATAATGAGTTGAAAAAAAGAAGGTATGATGTGAGAGAAACTTTAAAAACTTTTATATGATTGAACTTTTAATTAATATGCACTTTGCAAAAAAGTTACATCGATATATAATAATATATATAATGTTATTGTTTTTACTGTAACATCACAAATTCGAATGTAAAGCGTGTATAATTAATTACACTTTTAAAGCGAAACTTTTATTATTAATTTATCGTTATACTGTATTTATCTACGTAATAAATTATTTAAAATTATATAATTTACCAGTCACGATCCTAATTAGTGGTACGTGTAATATATTGATTAGTATTAGTGTAATATATTGATTAGGCAGTGACCTCGATGCCATGAATATTCATGAATCCACGTGAACAATATCATTAGTTATACAACAATAGCTAACTAGTAGAACCACAAATACTACACTAGAATAAAAAATTTTTTTGATACCTAGTTATCATGATATAATGATCGAATACAGTATTATTGCAAATACACCAAATCAGTGTCTGAAATTCATTTTTAATTTAGTTGCGGGCTGCAACTAAATTACTTGCGGATTATATGGATTTAGTTGTGCATATGAATGTATTTATATGCAATTTCGAACATTTCTATTTGCAAATTCACAAATTTATTTGCGGAACCAGCATATACATTTCGGATTTTAGTTGCGGAAATTTATAAATCATTTGCGGTCCGCAAGCTCCGCAACCCAATTTCAGATACTGCACCAAATCCTCATAAGTAATTGACTAGAAAATTTTCTATTTGTAAAAAAAAGCAAAACGGAGATTTTCCTAGCCTATGATCCAAGAATAGAGACTTGGTTCGAGTAACTATGGTTACGGCAATTAAAGCTCTAGATTATGTCATGAGCTCTCTATCATAATTTTACATATGCAATGATAACTGAAATATCTGATATTGCTGATATGATCTCATATTGCTTGGGACTGAATCTAAACCTGTATACTGTATTAAAGAGAATTTAATATGGCCTGCACTTAGAGAATATGCACTTAGAGAGAGCCGATTGTATATGGTGGATGCAGGAATTTCAACGATTTCAGCAATAACAAATAATAATAATAATGTTGCGAAAAAATTTTTTAGTTGGCTAGAATTTCTTATAGTAATATTTTTCTTTCGTTGTTATTTTCCTTTCGCTGTTATTTTTCTTACACTGTTATTTTTCTTACACTGTTATTTTTCTTTCTCTATTATTTTTCTTTCTCGATTATTTTTCTGTCTCTATTATTTTTCTTTTACTAGTTATTTTTTTTTTACGCTGTTATTTTCTTTCGCGGTTATTTTTCTTTTCGTTAGTAAAGGCTGTGTACGGGTTCGAAACCCAGTTCCCAACCCTAGATCTGGGTTCAAGGCCTTCGTCGAGAGTTTGGAACCCAGGATTTGTTTTGAAACCCTTGAAAGTAAAAATATATAAATATAATGTGTGAGCTAATAAAGAGAATAACACTTTCTGCTTCAATTCTAATAAGAAAGTAGATACGTACTGCATACATAAGCTTATTATAAATAAAGACCCACAATAACTCAAAATTCAGTTATATTGCAACTGCAAGTGCGCCGTCGACCAAATTTGTACACTAAATTTCGGTATTAAAATTCCAGATCGACCAACCATCCTAAAATACTATGTAGATCGATAACCTTAAAATTCATTACACATCAATAACTACCCGCAATACCTATATAAACCCGCTCTCGTATGCTTTGTAGAAAGGACTTACCTACTAGCGACTTTCTTTCAACTTTAATAATCGTCTATAAGGATTTGCATGTTCCAAAGGATTTTACGGATTGTACGATTTTCAAATTTAAAAAAGGAGAATTCTTAGAAAGAATTCGATTACAAAACTTGGTTTCACAAGCATGTGTTGTTGCTTATACAGAACATTCTTTAACAATATAATACGTAATGTTTTCAGCCTTTGTACAAATGATGGAAAAAAGAAATTTCTATGAGATTTAAGGGTTTTCCTTGGCATCATATTATATAAATTCACACGAGTGAAAATGATACAGAAAATTCTAAGACGAATATTTATTGTTACCTAAAATTTCAATATTTCTCCAAGATTCCTATTAAGGTCTGCAAGTGCCAGGTACAGTACTTTTGCAAAATAAAGCATGTGTTTAGCAGCTTCGTGTCCAGAGTTTATAGTACCACAGAAATATTATTAACGAAAACCAGTTATTAGATAATTTGCCAGTAAATTTAAGATCCATTCATACAGCAAAACAAATTTTGTCGATTTATCATTCACATTAGTTATCGTTATCGGATCACTCGTAACACAATTAGTGTCCTGACCCGCTATCAATATCGGATCTGTACAACAAGCGTTTGAACGCGAATTTTTTTTTTACTTTTAATAAATTTTAACGTGAAATTTTTTTCACTTTCAATGAATTTAAAATATATCTGCTGCAAATATGTGATAATTCTTTCCCAAAATAATTATTAATATGTCTAAAATACGATGATATATAAATTCTTAGATTCAATAATGAATAAGGCCTCGAGGATAAGTAGCTTAACTAACATCAATATATTGTAGAAGTCTTGGTAGAATCAACCTAATTATTGACAAAATTTATATTTTAGAAAGAAGGCTTATACATATTGAACGTTCTTAAGTGACGTGTGTCGTTATTGAAGATGTCAGTTATTATAGATGTCACATATTGATATCTTCCGATACGTACAAATGTAAATAAAGCATAACTCCGTACGTACTTACGTACATAATTAGATTAATGCGTTAATCTTCAACAGTGTAAAACCGCCAACAAATCATAATTCCGTACGTACTTACGTACATAATTAGAGTAATGCGTTAATCTTCAACAGTGTAAAACCGCCAACAAATCATAATTCCGTACGTACTTACGTACATAATTAGATTAATGCGTTAATCTTCAACAGTGTAAAACCGCCAACAAATCATATAAATATATAAATATAATCTCAAAGAGATATATTTAAGTTTCTCTTAAGTTGTAAGAGTTTTTATTCTTTCTCTTCTTACAGTAAAAGATGGATAGAAGTTCTACTAGCCAAGATATTTCCGAGATCTATGCGCTCCAATATAACAATAGAGTTTACACCATCCGAGATATGAATAGAACCCGGCAACGAGTAAGCCAAGGTCAAGCATGTGACCGCTGTCGCCGGCTACATCTTGGGTGCAATGATTATAAACCCTGCGATAAATGTACAAAAAACGGCTCAGATTGCTACATACGTAGCGGTTCTGGCTCATCTTCGGTTGTAGGAAGTAAGAAAATTATAAATTGGTTACATTAAATTATCGTAAAAATATATAATGAATTTGTAAAGATAGTTTCGTTAGTCTACATTTATTATCAAATCTTTAAGATTTCTTTAAAAACAAAAGGAGATTAGCGAATGAATTATAATGAATCTACATACCTTACGCTACCCTTACATTTTTACTTGTTCCACTTCTAAATACAGCATCTTCAGTTTCTTCTATTGTGCAAAATGAAAGTCATGTAGAAGGTAGGCTTCTTATATAGTTCGAAGAACAAAAAATTTAGGGTTCTCAAGCAACATCTTACTATTAATGAAGATTTTGCTCATTAATTGAAGTGAATTTTATAGTAATCAGCTTTGCTAAAGGTTCATAATACGAAATATTGATACTATATTAAATTTTAGCAATCATATACATCATGCTTAGTGTTTGAAAGTACATAAATTTTTGCAGATAATTATACTGTACATTTATCATTATCGTTATAAACGAAGTCAAATCCGTGACGTATTCATCGATGTGTTATTCGTAAATTATCACATCGCGTGATGTTGCTAAATGTTGACTACAAATAATGAAACAAATAATCTAATCCTTACTTACCTTAAACTCGTATGGCTTATTCTGAAATAGATCCATCCCGAATTAACATTTGCGATTTTCAGTCTTTGAATTATTCAAATTCAGGTGGATTGCCTTCAGAGAATATGTTTGGGGTAATCAGAGAAATAAATCCATAAGATACACATAACAATTACATCATTATTGTGACAAAGTTAATAATGGTTTTTTTATTACAACGTAACGGTAGCGCAATCTATTAATGTGAGACACCGTATTAACGTAGCAATGACGCAGTCTGTTGACGTAGCAAGGGAACATGTTGATCTAGCAGGAATGCAACTTGACGACTTATTAGGGATTCAACCTGCTGATACAATAGGGGTTCGATCTGTTGATGCAGAGAGGATACAATCCATTAGCACGACATTGACACAAGCAGGGCCACAAGTTGCAGGTATTTATCATCGAAGTTCCGCAAACATTAGAGCCGCAATAAACTATTGTATTTAGATTAAAATGAATTCTGATTAAAATGAAAAGTATTATGATATTGAATGAAAGTCGTGGGTTAATTGAAAAGTATCAATAAGGTTTTATAGTATATCAACAATAGGGATTCTGAATTTCATTTCATCTGATTTCATTTTAATCGCAACAATTATGATTATATTGTTTCTGAATCCTAATTACTTATGCTAATCATTCTTGCTAATATCACAATAGGCATGGTGAATATGCTAGAAAGTAAGAAAAATTAATATTAACAATCTCGGAAACACATATCAGCTGATTTTAATAAGTAAATCCACTCTCCCCAGGTTAGGTGCGTCAATTCAATTATATATAATTTCATGTCAAATGAGATGCGTTACTGGAGAGATTGGATTTCATTATCAAAATCAGCAGATATGAATGCTGTGGTTAAAAAATATTTCACGCTATTACTTTTAGCTGAGCTGGGTTAATCTAAAATAATTAAATATATTAAAACGTTTTTACATACTTTAATTATAGATACAGGAATTCCACCTCAAGCTAATTTGAATGTGCATGCGGGTTCCGTATATCTTAAATTATCCTGATATCATAAATAGAGAATAAAATAATGATCAACTTTTATGTAAATTTAGATAATCCGAATTATCCACCAGGTGAAATCATAAAATTAACTTTTCGTTATGATATAATATATGTAATATAAATGTTTTAAATCTTAAACAGTGTATGTAGGGTATCAAGAAAATTATGATGTGATTCCAAATGGTAAGCACAGCTGTTGTTAAATCATATTTTATAAATCAAACATTTGACCATATTTTCTATCAACTATCAATGTCTCTAGACTTGCTACAATTTAATGGATCAAGTCATTCAGCCAGCAATGTAATAATACTAGTTGTCTCCGACATTGAATCAGCGATCGCGCAATTAAGTAAGGATAATTCTAAATAGCACATTCACGATTCTTATGATGCTAAGTTACCTTTACTAAAAAATTTTTTGACATAATAATAGGACGTCTTCAAGGTAAACATGGAAAAAGCTATGGACGCAATGTTTATGGACATAACAATAACTGACATTGTTAAAACCTGTCTAAATTTATGTCGGTCATTGTGTGTCCATAATAAGTGAATGAAATATTGCAGCAGTTTGCGCGACAATAATATGTAGATAAATAAAATATCTTTACCTTAATATTAAATCTAGAGAAATAACATCGAGTTATGCTTTACATTCACAGAGAATTAAATTCGAAAAGTCCATAGAATTTTGCCTAAATTCTTATGACTCTTTTAAGCGTATAATATAATTTAGACTGAATCTATTGTTCTATTTCTAATATAAAATATAGGTCGTAGACAGGACGTTAGATTGCAAACTTCTACGAATGCGAGTGAACTCGAAGGTGAATAAAGAAATTAATTGTATGGGTAATGGTATACATACGTAATAATTATACTAACTAGATAATTACGAATGTTAGTATATAATTCTAGTGATAGCAGATGAAATAGTCGTCCCTGGGTTATATCCCCACTGGGCTATATTTCTATCTTACAGAATAAATTTACTTTTTTTTATATGTTTTATGACTGTACCGTTTCTCTTAACAGTTAAAGTGAAATCTTTAATTTCGAACGGGAATCTGAAGCTGACGCCTTACTGATAGGCAACATTATAATTATTACATTATTTCAACATTAAGCATTTAAAATCGACTCGTTGAAATAATATTAGTATTACAGTATTATAGTTTTATATCTTAAATCTTTTCAACTTATACCGTAATTTAAGGCTATTGATATCATATTTTCCATACATTTTATATTCTGTTGGTATTTTTTGCGAGTTTACTTTCATTTGATAGCTTAGGATCAATTTAGATATATATATATATAACCATTTGTAATTGACCTTTTTTCGGAAATTTGTGCAATGATATCATACATAAAGATTATCTAGGAAAAATTATGCGTAAACAAAAGTATAAATAATCGAAAACTTTTGATTATAAGAAATTTAAATGCTAAAATGGTATTTTTCTATTTAGAAAAAACTTAAACAATGCTTAAAATTCTATTTCTGATTTTAATTTTAATTTTTGACATAATCATTTTAGTTTGTATTTTTGTGCAATGAATTTATCAGCGAACTTCATCTTCTATGCTTTGTACGAGTATGGAATTAACATTCCGTTCGTATGTACAAATCTTGTGTACAAGTCTTATGTGTTAACATTCACATAAAATTAAACAGGTTAGCTCTATGTGCACACGGAAACCATTGATCAAATGATGAATTTTTAATATTAGATAAAAAATATGTTCGATTATATAATCAAAATTCCATAGTTCAGAATTTAGCTCTTAACTATTTTAGGTAAATAAGTTACGGCACGTATCCATTTTTAACAATTTACTGATTTGGTTTAGAACCACATATATATTTCTAATATGTTAATGATTTTATTTGTACGCGTTTAACTTGACTCAATTCAGATAATTTATTCATAATATTTTATGCTAACTTACTTTGATTAGGAGATTTGACTGATTGTCGCATGGTTTTTAAACAACACTTATATTTAGTAAGGAAATGTTAATCGACCACGGCTTGTGGGTTCAAGCAAGAATAGAGAAGAAAGGTTGGAGTTATGCCTCGACGGATCACGTGATTAGGCGTTCGACCAGCATTAAGAAGGGATCGATAGTGTCGAGTAACGTTATCGAGGGCACGTGTCACGTGATCGTCGATCGACGTAACAATGACAGCTGTATAGTACAATCAATAGGCTATGCCACCAAATTTATTAAAAGAAGTAAGATAAATACTCAATACATTAATGATATTGCGTAAGATATATACCATAACTGGTTCTACCACAAAGTCCCGACATCCAAAATCTCGAAACCATAATCCAGACGTGACAATTAATATTTAAAGATTCATTACAACCTATTAATTGCCATCCCTGTACGGAATATTATCTTAACTTTAATAGATTACAATTTGCATGTACAATCAATATATTCAAAATTACTTCTGTTCAGTTCTTTGGCAGACTTCTTAATAATAATTTTAAATCAAACTTCAATTATATGAACCTTCTTTTTTCTATTGCAGTGAAATTTTCACTTTTAGACCCTCCACTATCCTCCTCTTTCTATTCCTATTAGTAACTCTACAATTTTTTACAATTTTTAAACTAATGAAAAGACAGCTAAATTAGAAAATATCTTTGCTCAAAACTCTATACAAAGACAATTTAATTTCTATACCAATGGTTCAGTGATTGTCATTAGTATTGGATGGTGTTCAATGGATATAGAATGGGTCCAAGTAGATAATAATAATCAAATCATCCACAAATTTTCAGCTCAAATTTATCTCTAGCCATCTTCTTATAAAACTGAACTCTTCTCTATACTGTCTGCCATTTCTACAACTACTCATAATTCTATAATTAATATATATACTGTACATACTTCTAATCAATTATATCCAAATACACCAAACTTAATTTTCCTTTTATTAATCCCAACAAACATCTTAAATTTAATACATAGCCGTTATAGCATATACTTCTTAATATTATTTCTTCATATCTAATATAAATTACAAATCGTGTTTATTAAAGTTTCAACCTATTCAAACAATGTCATTAATAACTTAGTTGACTCATTAGCTAAACAAAATATATTAGATACACTACTTTTTTTAACTATAACAATATTTATAATCCTTATTATACACTTCAGTAAGAAAATGAGCAATATTTTATTGTGCTCTCTATCTGTTTATTTGATAAAAAGATATGTAAAGTTCAAATTCTGGTAATGTAGTCATCATAAAACTAGAAAAATGAGTAGTCTTTACTTAACCATTGAATTAATTGGAGAGTTACCTGGTTATACTTTACCACAACCAAAAATCTACTTCTAATAATATAAATTTTAAGCTTAATCAACCTAAATTCTTTAAAATCAAAATCTTATTTAATGTATTGCCAACTTACTATCTTCACTATTCATAATATTCTAGGATCTTTTTAAATATTAACTGCTTCTACTGCAATTTGCCAGATTCACCTCTACATTGGTATAGTTGCCAAAACTCTGAATTAATCTACCAAATTATTACTAATATTACTACATAGTATCTCAGATTAGTAGAACTGAATCTTTCAAATAATTAGCTAGAAGAACTTGTTCACAAAATTTACAATTATAAAGCATTTCATCTAATTGCTTTTCAACTATATTCACACTACTTGGATATTATACTCAAAGGTCTAATCCTTATATCTTTAATTAAACTATTTAAAACTATAATATCTCTTACAAGACTGCATTCTAAGCAGTAATCAATATATTACTTAAAATAAATAAATAATTATATGAACAATTATGAAAATTTTATTGTTCTAACTGAAGAAAGCTCAATAAACTTAACTATCTATACTTCAATAATCCAAGCTCTTCATATAATTTGAATTTTTCAGCCTTGAACAACAATCTGATTCTTTAAGTTCAATGCAATTTACTACTTTAACTTGACATATTCATACAATATATACTTATTCTTGTCTATATAAAGAACCAGATCTCTTTGGAAACAATCCTTACAAAACATCCTAAGTATATTGTTTTTAAACAACAACTTAAAAAACACAAATTACTTTATCTTGAACAGCTTTATACAGCAGACAATACAAACCTACTAGAATAGACATATTTATCTCTCAGACTTAGATGTATACCCAAAGGTAAAATACCTTTGTAGTTTAGTACATTAGAAGATTTGGTTCTTGATAACAAAGAAAACCATCTATTATTTAACCAATATCAACAAATAGGAACTAATATTTTTGCTGCTAGTTCTTACTCTATCTCTAAAAAGCTTAAACCATAGATTATAACTATTAATGATGATGAAATCATCTTTGAAAAAATATGTAAACAATATCCAGAAACTAAAAAAGTTTCGATTATACATTGGCAAGCAGACTTTGACCTCAGTATTATTAACTGCTACCCACTTCCACCCATTAATTGTATACCCTGTTCAGGGTGCCATCTCAACTCTAACAGAATAGGCTCAGCCTGCACTCTAAAAGTATCTACTATTAAATCTGCACAATTCTTTGAAAGAATTATATGCAACCAATTCAAATTTAATGCAAATTATATTGATCTCATATTCTCTACAGCAATCAAATACCCATTACCAAATTCTACTTTACTAGCACTTCCTACTATCTCAATAGTAGACTCAATTACTACTTCAATCTTTCATCCAAGTAAGCTGACAACCAAACTTGAAGAGATATCTATTAATAACTTGAACTCTAATTTATTTAATTTTTATACTGATGGATCTGTTATCAATATTGGTACTAAACACTGTACAATGGGTATAGGCTAGATTCAAGTCAATAATAATGACCAAATTATTTTCTAATTTAATGCTCAAATTAAGCTTTGGCCATCTTCTTATAAAGCAGAACTTCTAGCTATTCTATCAGCAATTTCAACAACTCCTCGTAATTCTACAATTAATATCTATACAGATTCCCAATCTATTATTTCTAAATATTATAAACTCATATTTTCTACTTTTAATTCAAATAGATTTTTTAAATTTAATGCATGGCCAATATGGCATACACTCCTTAATATCATAAAATCCTATCAATTAGATATAACTTTTCACAAAGTTCAAGCTCATGCAGACAATAATTTTAATAATTTAGCAAACACCCTAGTGTAGTACCCCAAAATTTCATCGAATTTTAATATTTTTCTCTTTTCTTTTCTTTTTCTTATATTTTATTATATTTTTATTATATTTTTATAATATTTTAGGACTATGTAGATGTTAATTTAATATCTATCTATTATGTGACGCATATAGAGTTACATGGTTCATCACATGTTACATTTAATTTAAATTTCATTACACTAATGAGTAAGTTCTAGAATGTTTATCAAAAATTACTAATAACTAAAAATTTTACTATGACAATCGATCTAGCTTATTAAGATAAAAACGTTCTATGACCCAAAATAGGGGAGTT